GTTCGGTTAGCAGCTTCCATTAAAAAGATTTCAGGATCCCGAATTAACGCATTCAAAATTTATTGTATACATGTTATTAATAAAAGGTGGAGAAGTTTTGATTGTGATAATTATTTATTGGCATATTTTCTTCACCCAGGATATCGCGGTACATTTGATTAAAATTTTTAATAAATAATAAATTATTTCATATTAACACAATTTTTATTAGGCATTGGATTACGAGAACAACAATTTCAAACAATCGCAAAAGCAGCAATTAAAATATGGCAAGAAAAAGGACATGATCAATATGAATGTGCAGACCTTGTGGCGCTTATGCGACAATTTCGGGAAAAAGAAGATGGATTTGATCTACCTTATAGTTTTGAAAAAGATACTCCTCTATTATGGTGGATGACTAATCATATTGGATCTAATTCGATTGTACAACTTGCGATCAAGATTTTTTCTATTACTCCTCATTCTGCCGATTGTGAAAGAACATTCTCATCATTAGGTTGGCTATATGGAAAACGACGACAAAGGCTTTCTCTTTCTCGGATTCAAGCTATGGCACAAATTCGAACCTTTTGTATTTCAAATGTGAAAAAAGAATTAGCATTTTTTGGTAAAACATTGTTATCTAATGACTTAAAAGAACAGATAGCATCCGCAACATTTTTAGCCGATGATGATGATGATGATGAAATTGTTGAAGATTCTGAAATAGAAGAAGAAGAAGAGTGTGATTCAAGTATTATTGAACATTTTGATATTGAAAATATTGTATTTTTAAATGATGAAATTTTTCAAGATAATGAATCGGATAGTAATAGTGAAAGTTCAGATGATGCTGAAAATGTCGATGAAATTGAACATGATGAATCAATGACTAGTGATACAATAGGACGAGGAGTCTTTGATTTTGATCCTACAAAATTGGCGACAGATTTAGTAAAAGAATGGAATTATGAAAGTAGTAAAGATATTAATGATAGTATAAACAGTATAGATAAAATGAATGAAGAAATTAGCGAAAGTTTAAATAATACAGGTAGTGAAAGTAGTGTTTTAGAAAATTTACCTATAGCACTTCGAAAAACATGTCGCCAAAATCCAAGTAAATGAAAAAATAAAACTTCTATAAAGTGATTTTTTTTTGTTTTATGATTATAATATTTTTGTCAAGAATTTCGTCAATCGTCAATAAATTCGTCAATCGTCAGTAATTTCGTCAGTCGTCAGTAATTTCGTCAATCATCAGTAATTTCGTCAATCGTCAGTAATTTCGTCAATCGTCAGTAATTTCGTCAATCGTCAGTAATTTCGTCAATCGTCAGTAATTTCGTCAATCGT